AGGAGCAGGAGCAGGAAAAGGAGCAGGAGAAGTAGTGGTAGTGGTGGTAGTGGTGGTAGTAGTGGTGGTAGTAGAGGCGGAGCAGTAAGACAGAGCAGCTGCTCGGAGCCGTCCTTGTGGTGGTAACGGCAGTGGTGGTGGCTGTAGCCATGGCGGAATTCAGCAGCAGTAGCGGGCTATAGCATGCCGTCTCAGGAAATCAACGTGAACAAGGAGAGCGTCCAGGAAGCGCAGACCAACGGAGTCGCAGCAGATGGTGTCGAGGCAGCGACCGCATGATTTGCACAAACCTACTGTCGCTGAAGCCTGAGTGCTGCGCAGATCCCTCCTGCTGCCGTCGGCAACTTCGCGGGTCGACGTTTGCAAAGCAGTTCTTGCGATACCTTGGCCGTGCAGCAGACGGACTGGGTCCTCAGCACCTTGGTTGGATTCTGTGACCGCAGGCAATGTCTCAAGTGTTGCTGTTGCCCTTGTCTCTGAATGTCAGGCAATCCATACAGCTACTTGAATAGCAGACGCTTGGACGCATGGAAGGGCGTGCTGAGTGGGCATGCCACAATCAAGCCATCCCCCAAAAAGGGCTCGCGCCGCGTGCAAGGGAGCTACATGTGAGTTGCGGCCATGTCGGTCAGCGGTTTGTTGAAGCTTGCTCCTAGGCTTGGGCATCAATCGGTATGTGCTGCCGAACGCTACGGTGAAAGTGCTGGAGATCAAAGCCTGCGACGCCATTGTAATACAGCAAGATCTCAATCCACCGGTCGACTTGACCCTGCCACTGCGCTGGGCCTAGATCGGGATCGGCACTCTGACCGCTGCTGCTGCTGCTGCTCTGTGTGTGCGTGTGGGTGTTTTTTGATCCAGTGTCACTTAGAGGCCCCAGCTGCCGCTGGTCCCGCCACCCACGGGCTTCAGCTACGAGCCGGTTTGTGCACGCCTGGGCACCTCGGAGCAGGTGCGCAAAGAGGGAGAGGGGCAGAGGCTGTCCGAGTGGGAGTGTGTGTGAGAGAGAGAGAGTGTGTGTGTGTGTGTGTGTGGGTACGTGTGCGTGGAGTGGTGTCCTTGTGAGGATCCGGATTGGTCGATGGATGTCACATCCTGGGTGCTTCCAACCAGCTATGGAGCCACCGAGCTAAAGTGCCAGGCTACCACTGCCGGTGGCGCTTACGTGGGCATATACGTGCCCATGCCGCTGGCAGGCACATCGACCACTGCAACCAAGACTGTTTCCCAGACCTCAACAACAACTTTCACTGTTTTCACCACCACGAATGCGCCATCGGATGCCGGCCTGATCGTGGGAACCAGTCTCGCCGCGGTTGCTTTCGTTGTAGTCATCAGTCTCTGTGCTTGGCAGCTACACGCCGGGAACGTGAAGGTCAATGTCCCCGATACGAAGGCTACCTGCCAACGCATGGCCGATTCCGTCAAGAGCTCCGTCAAGTCCGCCCGTGTCGCCGTTGCTGTACCCTTCGAAAGGGGCGAACCGAAGGTCGCGTGGGAAGGACGGGAAGCAGCTCCCCAGGAGCCTGCGCCATCGAGCCAGGAGGTAAAGCAGGCCAAAGAGGATGCGGAGGAGCGCTGCTTTTCGGAGTCATTGTTCTTCTTCTTTAAGGGCACTGCGGCGGCGGCGACGTTGCCGTCCAACCTCTCGTAAAACTCCTAGCCTAGCCTAGCTTTAAGCTGAAGCTGCGCTTTTTGGCTTGCGAGGAGCACTTCTGGGACTGGGCGAAGGACGTGGCCTCGGCCTCGGGCTCGGGCTCCGGCCCGGCGGCCGAGCTCCCGCGCGGGCCTTCCTACGGCCTGGGCCAGAGCATGGGAAGTGCAGGACCTGCCATCCCAAGACCGCTCTATCCGGCAAAGAAGGCGGAGGAGAAGGAGGAGTACTTCCAAAGCTTTGCCCAGGAGCTGCGGGACATCGTCGGGTCGGCGGTTCCCAACATGATAGAAGACTCTCCAAGCAGTGCCAACAGCATACCGAAGACGCCGCCTCCCCCTCCTCCACCGAAGCGGAGCTTGGATCCTGCTGCTCCACCTCGACCACCCCCCAACCCACCCCCATGGTCCCGTGAGAAAAAGACCCTGGCGGTTTCACTGCCGCCGCCCCCTGCGGTGGAGAACGCCGAGCGCATCGATGTGCGTGTCGACCAAGCTTTCTCGGACTGGGCCAGCGACTTTGCCTTGTGCCTTCCACCCAGCCCAAGCCAAGCAAAGACGGCACCACCTCCGCCACCGCCGCCTCGGCGTTCCCCGCCGCAGAGCAACAACCTGCCACTCCCTCCCCCGAAAAAACCGAGCAGACCAGCTTTGGAGGAGAGAAGAAGCAGTGATCCCCACGAAATTAACCAGGTCTCAAGCCTCCGCAGCGCTGCTATGGCTTCAGATCCTGCGACTCGACAGCTTAAGTCACTGTTTCGCTGATGCATGCTGATCCTCTTTCTATTCCTCTCCGGGCTGAGCCTCTCCTGCAATCTCTGACAGCCTGGCTGGAGATGTTCAGGCTCCGGCAACACTGCCCAAGCAACCGCCGCCCCCGCCTCTAGCGGACCGACAGTCGGAGCGACAGATGCCCCTGCTGCCGCCGTCCTTAAACACCAGGCCGGGGTCGCAGCCCCTTGGTGTGCGATTAGAGAGAGAGGGTTCTGCAGGCTTTGCATCTTCCGCAGCTTGGGGCAGAGTGCGTGAGGCTTGCCATGCCAGTACCGAAGCACCTACCGCTTCAGCTTCCTGCCCGTCCTCCAGGCAGTACGGCAGTGCTGCCAAACTCCACAACAGTCATTGAAGTTGACTCTGAAGCATGGCTAGGTGCAGTGGACGATGATAATCCCGATCAGAGAGGCTGCTGAAGCTGCACGTAAGACCTCCTGACCAATGTGATTTGAAGTGTTCCGTTTCATCTTCTTTTGTGCACGTCGTTGGCCAAGTTGCAACGGGAGTGTCAGGTTCTCTTCTCCCTCTCTCCCTGTCTGTCTCTCTCGTCTCTCTCTCCCTCCCTCTCTCTCCCGCTCTCGCGCTCTCTGTGCAAAGGCTCCTCGCAAGGTGTCCTGGATGCATTCTCAGCAGGGCCAGCCCGAAGTTGCATTGATGTTAGCTTCTCGGGCGTCTTGGCCAGGTGAGGAGAGCTCTCCGACGCCCCGTTAGACACCGCGCTAAAGCAGAGCCTCAGGGTGCGACAGCTTTCCGGTGGATGATTTGTGGATGTGTCTCGAAGTCACGGGACATGCTGATGTGCTGCACAGGCCGCTCGTCGAGCGCGGTGCTGCGGTGTACCTTTACCAACTTGAACTGGCATCCGCTTAATGCGCGATGTGGAAAAGCCCCGAAGCACTTGTGACCTCTGCGATAACTGCTGTGACAGTCACTTGCACTACATCCATTATATTGCCGTGTAGTCGCACCAGTATCTGGAATCTCTTGTTCCTCCTGCTTGCCATTGCTGTTGTTGACAGTCATAATGTTGCTATTATTACTAGCATACAACGACTAGTCACTAGTCTCCTCTTTACATCATCAATCAACACAACTACTTCTGCTTCTACTACTACCATCACCACTACTACTCCTCCTCCTACTGCTACTGCTACTGCCACGGC